TGCTGTGCACATGGTACTGTGCACACGGTCCTGTACACAGTCCTGTACAGAGGGTCCTGTACACTGAGTCCTGTACATAGAGTCTTGTACAGAGATTCCTCCTGCACACAGTTCTGTACAAAGGGTCCTGTACACAAGGTCCTGTACACAAGGTCCTGTACACAGGGTCCTGTATGCAGTCCAGTACACAGAGTCCTGTACACAGGGTCCTGCACACAGTCCTATACACAATGTCCTGTACACAGGGTTCATTACACAAAGTCCTGTACACAGGGTTCTGTACACAGGGTCCTGTATATGAGGCCCTCCTGTACATAGGTCCCTCCTGTACATGAGGCCCTTTGGGGCCCTCCTGTACATGGGTCCCTTCTGTACATGGGTTACTCCTGTAGATGGGGCCCTCCTGTAGATGGAGCTCTCTTCTACATGGGGGCCCTCCTGTAGATGGGGTTCTCTTGTACATGGGGTCTGCTGTACATGGGGCTCTCCTTTACATGGGGCTCTCCTGTACCTGTATATGGGTCCCTTCTGCACATGGGTTACTCCTGTACATGGGACCCTCCTGAACATGGGACCCTCCTGTACATGGGACCCTCCTGTACATGGGACCCTCCTGTACATGGGGCCCTCCTGTACATGGGGCCCTCCTGTACATGGGGCTCTCCTGTACGTGGGGCCCTCCTGTAAGTGGGGCTCTCATGTACGTGGGGCCCTCATGTACGTGGGGCCCTCCTTTACGTGAGGCCCTCCTGTGCGTGGGGCCCTCCTGTACGTGGTGCCCTCCTGTACATGAGGCCCTTCTCTACTTGGAACCCTCCTGTACATGGGGCCCTCCTTACGTGGGGCCCTCCTGTACATGGAGCCCTCCTGTACATGGAGCCCTCCTGTACATGGAGCCCTCCTGTACACGGACCATCCTGTACGTGGGACCCTCCTGTACGTGGAGCCCTCCTGTACGTGGGGCCCCTCCTGAACATGGGTCCCTCTATGTGGGGCCCTTCTGTACGTGGGGCCCTCCTATACATGGGGCCCTCCTGTACATGAAGCCCCTCCTGTACATGGGACCCTCCTGTACATGGGACCCTCCTGTACATGGGACCCTCCTGTACATGGGACCTTCCTGTACATGGGACCCTCCTGTACATGGGACCCTCCTGTACATGGGACCCTCCTGTACATGGGACCCTCCTGTACATGGGGCCCTCCTGTACATGGGGCCCTCCTGTACATGGGACCCTCCTGTACATGGGACCCTCCTGTACATGGGGCCCTGTACATGGGACCCTCCTGTACATGGGACCCTCCTGTACATGGGGCCCTCCTGTACCTGGGGGACCCTCCTGTACATGGGACCCTCCTGTACATGGGACCCTCCTGTACATGGGACCCTCCTGTACATGGGGCCCTCCTGTACATGGGACCCCCCTGTACATGGGACCCTCCTGTACATGGGGCCCTGTACATGGGACCCTCCTGTACATGGGACCCTCCTGTACATGGGGCCCTCCTGTACATGGGGCCCTCCTGTACATGGGACCCTCCTGTACATGGGGCCCTCCTGTACATGGGGCCCTGTACATGGGACCCTCCTGTACATGGGACCCTCCTGTACATGGGACCCTCCTGTACATGGGACCCTCCTGTACATGGGACCCTCCTGTACATGGGACCCTCCTGTACATGGGACCCTCCTGTACATGGGACCCTCCTGTACATGGGACCCTCCTGTACATGGGGCCCTCCTGTACATGGGACCCTCCTGTACATGGGACCCTCCTGTACATGGGACCCTCCTGTACATGGGACCCTCCTGTACATGGGACCCTCCTGTACATGGGACCCTCCTGTACATGGGACCCTCCTGTACATGGGGCCCTCCTGTACATGGGACCCTCCTGTACATGGGACCCTCCTGTACATGGGACCCTCCTGTACATGGGACCCTCCTGTACATGGGACCCTCCTGTACATGGGACCCTCCTGTACATGGGACCCTCCTGTACATGGGACCCTCCTGTACATGGGACCCTCCTGTACATGGGACCCTCCTGTACATGGGACCCTCCTGTACTTTGGGACCCTCCTGTACATGGGACCCTCCTGTACATGGGACCCTCCTGTACATGGGACCCTCCTGTACATGGGACCCTCCTGTACATGGGACCCTCCTGTACATGGGACCCTCCTGTACATGGGACCCTCCTGTACATGGGACCCTCCTGTACATGGGACCCTCCTGTACATGGGGCCCTCCTGTACATGGGGCCCTCCTGTACGTGGGGCCCTCCTGTACGTGGGACCCTCCTGTACATGGGACCCTCCTGTACATGGGACCCTCCTGTACATGGGACCCTCCTGTACATGGGGCCCTCCTGTACGTGGGACCCTCCTGTACGTGGGACCCTCCTGTACATGGGACCCTCCTGTACATGGGACCCTCCTGTACATGGGACCCTCCTGTACATGGGACCCTCCTGTACATGGGACCCTCCTGTACATGGGACCCTCCTGTACATGGGACCCTCCTGTACATGGGGCCCTCCTGTACATGGGACCCTCCTGTACATGGGACCCTCCTGTACATGGGACCCTCCTGTACATGGGACCCTCCTGTACATGGGCCCTCCTGTACATGGGACCCTCCTGTACATGGGACCCTCCTGTACATGGGACCCTCCTGTACATGGGACCCTCCTGTACATGGGACCCTCCTGTACATGGGACCCTCCTGTACATGGGGCCCTCCTGTACATGGGACCCTCCTGTACATGGGACCCTCCTGTACATGGGACCCTCCTGTACATTGGACCCTCCTGTACATGGGACCCTCCTGTACATGGGACCCTCCTGTACATGGGACCCTCCTGTACATGAGACCCTCCTGTACATGGGACCCTCCTGTACATGGGACCCTCCTGTACATGGGACCCTCCTGTACATGGGACCCTCCTGTACATGGGACCCTCCTGTACATGGGACCCTCCTGTACATGGGACCCTCCTGTACATGGGACCCTCCTGTACATGGGACCCTCCTGTACATGAGACCCTCCTGTACATGGGACCCTCCTGTACATGGGACCCTCCTGTACATGGGACCCTCCTGTACATGGGACCCTCCTGTACATGGGACCATCCTGTACATGGGACCCTCCTGTACATGGGACCCTCCTGTACATGGGACCCTCCTGTACATGGGACCCTCCTGTACATGGGACCATCCTGTACATTGGACCCTCCTGTACATTGGACCCTCCTGTACATGGGACCCTCCTGTACATTGGACCCTCCTGTACATGGGACCCTCCTGTACATGGGACCCTCCTGTACATGGGACCCTCCTGTACATGGGACCCTCCTGTACATGGGACCCTCCTGTACATGAGACCCTCCTGTACATGGGACCCTCCTGTACATGGGACCCTCCTGTACATGAGACCCTCCTGTACATGGGACCCTCCTGTACATGGGACCATCCTGTACATGGGACCCTCCTGTACATGGGACCCTCCTGTACATGGGACCCTCCTGTACATGGGACCCTCCTGTACATGGGACCCTCCTGTACATTGGACCCTCCTGTACATTGGACCCTCCTGTACATGGGACCCTCCTGTACATGGGACCCTCCTGTACATGGGACCCTCCTGTACATGGGACCCTCCTGTACATGGGACCCTCCTGTACATTGGACCCTCCTGTACATGGGACCCTCCTGTACATGGGACCCTCCTGTACATGGGACCCTCCTGTACATGGGACCCTCCTGTACATGGGACCCTCCTGTACATGGGACCCTCCTGTACATGGGACCCTCCTGTACATGGGACCCTCCTGTACATGGGACCCTCCTGTACATGGGACCCTCCTGTACATGGGACCCTCCTGTACATGGGACCCTCCTGTACATGGGACCCTCCTGTACATGGGACCCTCCTGTACATGAGACCCTCCTGTACATGGGACCCTCCTGTACATGGGACCCTCCTGTACATGAGACCCTCCTGTACATGGGACCCTCCTGTACATGGGACCCTCCTGTACATGGGACCCTCCTGTACATGGGACCCTCCTGTACATGGGACCCTCCTGTACATGGGACCCTCCTGTACATGGGACCCTCCTGTACATGGGACCCTCCTGTACATGGGACCCTCGTGTACATGGGACCCTCCTGTACATGGGACCCTCCTGTACATGAGACCCTCCTGTACATGGGACCCCCTGTACATGGGACCCTCCTGTACATGGGACCCTCCTGTACATGGGACCCTCCTGTACATGGGACCCTCCTGTACATGGGACCCTCCTGTACATGGGACCCTCTGTACATGGGACCCTCCTGTACATGGGACCCTCCTGTACATGGGACCCTCCTGTACATGGGACCCTCCTGTACATGGGACCCTCCTGTACATGGGACCCTCCTGTACATGGGACCCTCCTGTACATGGGACCCTCCTGTACATGGGACCCTCCTGTACATGGGACCCTCCTGTACATGGGACCCTCCTGTACATGGGACCCTCTTACACATTAACACAACGTACCCTGTGGCGCTCTATGGCCCATGTGAGTTTAGCGCTTAGTTAAAATTTTTATTAGAATTTTAATACATCAGAGGCGTTTAAAGGGGATTTAAATCCATTGTTTAAAAATTAATCTAAATCCCCTTTAAGGCCTATTTGCGCTAAAACCGTATGGGCCACACTGCAGCTGGGAGGTAACGATCTTTGATCCGAGGGATGGGCAGCTCCTGGTGCTGGGATCAAGAGCCCTCCAGCAGCTCCTGGTGCTGGGATCAAGAGCCCTCCAGCAGCTCCTGGTGCTGGGATCAAGAGCCCTCCAGCAGCTCATGGTGCTGGGATCAAGAGCCCTCCAGCAGCTCCTGGTGCTGGGATCAAGAGCCCTCCAGCAGCTCCTGGTGCTGGGATCAAGAGCCCTCCAGCATCAAGGGACGAAGAACAGTATCATTCGATATATTTTATTTTGACGAGAGAT